TTCTCCACCTAGCCGTGATTTACGACGATGTGACCGCCGTCAAAAATCTGTTGGCGAACCAAAATGTCGACATCAATGCTCGAGACAGGAAGGGCGATACTGCACTTCTGCTGGCTGCCAAGATCTACGGGAGCGACCAGCCCAATAGCAGCCAGATACTCGATTCTCTGTTACCGTATAAAGACATTCGGCCCGAATGGCTTGACTGCGCCGGTCGCTCGGCGCTCTGGCACGCAGTGAACACCTGCAACTGGCAGCTGATTCGCCGTTCTGCAGAATTTCCGCGGGCTCAGACCAACGTACCTGACATCGAGGTGTCAGCCCGCTTGCTCGGGCCGTGATTCGCAGACGACTTGACATTTTCAATTGGCTTCTTGCTACCTTTCCGCAAAATATTGCCCGAGGCTGACGGCTGTTTGATTGTATATTTGGTGACAACAGTGGATCTCAATTCTATAGCTTGCTGCATTACGTGCAAAACCACCAAAACCGGCGTCGCAGAAATTCTCCGCCCTCTCTGTCAAATAACGTACTTTTCACAACACAAAACTTTCATATCCTAAACGAATCGTGATTTTTCATTCTGTAGGCGCATTTCCGACAAGGCTGTATTATGTGATGGTATTCTGAGCATATTCGGCCGTATTAAACCAGAGCTTGATTGTACACCTAAAATTGACTACTGATTTTTGATTAATTGATCATTCTATTAAACGGGCTCAGTGCTAACCAATAAATCGTTTTTCATCTTGGCCGATGGCCTCCGAGAAGTTGGCATCATATGAGCGTTCCAGATGCTTCCATAGAGGACGTCGTCGATTACAGCCTCCCATTGACCCAGCTTGCAGAATAATTCAGTCGTACCAGGGCAAAGATAGAGGAGTGGACTTTGCTTCTTAAGAAATGGGCAACAACTGAAATCTGGGTATCACGAGCATGTTCGAAGATTCGACAGGCCGAAAGAGACCATTCCTCTCATGACACACGAAGACGTTTCGCATCCCCTGCCTCCACTCGACATGGTCGTCGTTTTGCGGGGCCCCGTCGCTGCTTGGCCGGTCGACATCTCAAAGTCGAACGGTGAAAGTCGATGATCAAAGCACGCCCGAGCTCTTCGCTCCAAAGGACATTTTCTCGCCTGAGATCTTCATGTATTATCCCGAGAGCCCTGATTTCCTTGTTCGATTTATGAATCTCGCGGTGAAGCTGTTGCGTCAGCTCCATCGTCGCAGTACACTCACCGCCCCAGCCCATGACGAGCATGTGGCGGATTTGTGCGCAATGAAGAAAATAGATTTTTGCCAAGTCAATAGTACCCAAGAAAACAGGCACAGCAGATCCTTGGGCCTTGTGCAGCACTCGATACACCTCCGCTTCGCGGGAAACTTCTTTCCACAACCCCACAGTGGTGCCTTTCCCGATAACCGTGTAGCCATATTCCATGCATGTCAGTTTGAATGGAGCGCCGTACGAGCCGCAATCGCCGAAGGGTATGCAACGATCCATGTCTTCGTCCAGCTGGCTTTTCAATGAGAGCATCAAGTCCTCGGCCGATATCGGATGCTGAGTCGGATCGGTCTGGCCTCGGCGATGATGATCCACGTTTGGACACCGCTCATCCAGATCATTTCTGGTCTGCAAACCAAGTAAGCACCGCTGCGTGCAGAATTGCGCAGCGCGGCGCTGAGAATGGTCGTCTTGGCCGTGTCCTGCCCTTTGCTGGCGACCTGACCGCCGAGCGGACGGTGAAGGCGTGACCTGACTGATCCTCCGCTTATGGCCGGCTGCTTGATTTGTGTCGGAGCCGGACGAGCCAGGTGACTGCGACCGCGGTCGAACCTCCGAAGGTGCACAGCTCGCTTGAGATCGTGTAGGGATTCGACGGATCTCTGAGGGCGCTGGTAACGGAGATGACGATGGTAGTGAATAGGATGAACCAGTATCTGGACTCGGAAATTCGGGGTTGGTGCTATCGGAGTGGGGAATCTGCTGCAACTCTTTTCCTGGAATTTGTGAGCGCGTGTGGTCAAAGCTTGTTTCCCATTTGTGAAGAACTGGGTACGCTCGGTTTCTCCATTCTTGCCCTCGGGTAGGTGAACGGAACGCCATCAAACAAAGGCACAGAACCCTCGCAACAGAGGATTTCCATAGTCGGGAAGCAATATCGCTTTCTGGGGTCATTTCGCTGTGAGGATCACAGAGAAAGTAGTAGAGCGTGCTAGGCTGGTCGAGCGGAACACGGAGGAGAACGCGGGTAAGCCCATTTGTCAGATATGAATATTCAAGTCCTTCTTGAATCATCACATGGTATTCCTGAGAAATGGCGGAGCAAACAAGCCGCTCTGCGTTGTGCTTCACCTTTTTTCCTGGTCGGTTGATGTTTTATTGGCTCGGACCATATCCTTCCAAAGGTCCATTGGTCGAAGTCCCATGCGCATGGTTGCAGAAGGCAGCTTGTGAGGTGGCTTGTACTCGACAGTCGTCAAAATGGTGGTCGAGTTGCCATCGACACGGTTGATGCAGAACTGGTCAGGCCGTGGTTGACTTGTGCTGGGTAGTTCATTTGCTTCAACCTCCGTGGGTTCATTTTCGTTCAGGGAATTCTTATGATTGCTGAACTGGATTCCATCTCCGAGCCGGAACTCCTCACGAGCAGCTGGCAGTTTGCAAAGCTCGGCTATAATATCGTGAACATGTTCTTCAACGCCAAATCGCTCGTAGGCCTCAAGCTCTTGCTCGCTGCTTAGTGGGCTGCGAGAAAATCGACGGCTAAGCCCTTCTATTTCAGCTACAGGCGAAAACAGACGAGGCTGCGGTCCCCGCTCCGGGCAAAGATGTTGGCACACGGACTCGTAGACTTCCGAGAGCTGTTTTGGACAGTCGGTCCAGTGTTCCAATCGAGTGGGGCAGTATTTTCCCTTGGGAAGAGGTATTTTTCCAGTTGTTGAGCGAGATGGTGAATCGACTCTCAGTGATCGGGAGAGAAGGACATGGCAGTGCTGAATGAGCTCTGTGAAAGTGGTCTGTCGGGTGCGTGCTTCTGCCCGTCGTCTCCCTTCTGCTTCCTGCCGCCTCCCTTCTGCTTCCTGCTTCTCGCGCTCTTCTGCCTGCTTCTCGCGCTCTTCTGCCTGTCGCCTCCCTTCTGCTTCCTGTTTCTCGCGCTCTTCTGCCTGCCTCCGTCTCTCTTCCGCCTGCAGATAGAGAGTTTGGTAATCTGGAAGATTGGGACTGGCCATGTATTTGTATATAAAATAAATAAAACCGGGTCCCTAAGAGAGTTGTGACATGCTAGGTCCCGGTCGGCGGTTTAGTGTTGTTGTTGGCGGACGTCAGCTGATCGCGGCCTCGGCAATAGTATTCACCCGGAGACGCACATGACCTGCCGACAACTTCATGTGGCTAACTAGTTCCTCGGATCCTTGAATATTCGAAATTAAAGAAGATTCCCGACACAGAAGACAAACTTCTTGATCCGAAAATGTCCACGGCGTGATGGCCGTCTTGAATTGCCGAAAACGTGGCCTGTTACTGCGCACTATATTTGAAAGCGATGAATCAGTGCCTTTTCTAAGTGAAGCTTGCCGAAGAACTGAGTTTTGTGCCCTCGTTGTCTAGGCGCTTTGCTCTCTGAAGACAGTATGAAGCTGCAGATCCTACATAGTTTTTTGCAAATCCCAATAGTCCAGCCGAAAGCTCCTCGGAGCCAGGGCAGATCTATTGCTACCAAATTGATCATTGCCCGATGGATCATCTGATCAACCTTGCTTGCCACCTCAGACAGACGAATGGCTACTTAATCTACATAGCCACAGCGCATAATGATGCAACTTGTAGATGGTCTACTTTCGCGCAGGCCAACTGCACATGAGATCCCGATGGTCCTCTTCCGGTCCTCAGGTTCCCGGGGCCTTAGAACCTTGGGCCACAGATGCCACATCAAGTTGCTATTGTCAATTGGACACACCGGTAGAAGATGTGGAACAGATGGGACCGGGTGTGTGTTCATAGTATCTCTACGTGCACGCCGTCGAGTCCGGGTCAATATTCGTCCGCCATGTGCACTGATGTGATTATGCGGGTTATGCGTCAACTCATCCAGTCCATGAATACCTGTCACAAGTTGTTTGAAAGGCAGTCAAATCGGTAAATCAGCTTGAATTCAGGCAGGCTTTGACTACTAAGGAATCGGGATCCATTTCCGCAGACGTCCATCTCAAGAATTATAAGATGGTTCTGAGTAGAAGCACTATTCTCGAGGCGATGATGCGGATGCGTCTCGTTTTCTTTCTCTCGCCGTAATCTGGTTGGTCTTCGGTTTGTGGCCGGTCTGCCAAACCGCACAGAATTTGAATTCCACACCCTGGTCGACCCTATCGGGACATCGCATTCTAAACCCTGAGGGTCAACATGCTCGTGCGCATGCTGATCGCAGCCCTTGCCTCAACTCTAGTTTCATCTTTGAATTTGCCCTTAGGAGCTTGCACGGTCAACATCAGAGCACGTGAGTCAATATTTCTACAAGAAAAAATAAGCAAAAGCAAAATCAGTTCAAGTGGCGGTTCCGGCTTACCTTCAATTTAGGGCTGTCAAAAAAGAGTCAGCGGGGAATAATAATAAGGGGTATCACATTTGGTGATTGTGTGCAAACATGGACGGAGTTGGATTTCCAAAGCATCAAAGAAGTACGACCATGAAGGCCATGCGAAGGTAAAGGAATGACTCTAGAGCAGACATATGTATAACAAATGACTATTTTTATGGGGTCAAAAGCATCCGAATCGCTTGGCCTGTCTGGCTTGCCAGCCGATCATGGCCGGTGTTGGACCCAAGAGATCTTTAATAGTTTGAATCTCTCCATTCCCACACAAATCGGTCACATTTCCGTTGACAGTCCCATTGGCCCTGTAAAAGCAGACTTGGCGCTTGGAGTTTCTTTCTCCCGGAGATCTTGTTACAATTCCTGTGAGAGAAAAGCTTGGCTGGCAAAGTGCGAACCTTTTTCAATGTAGAGTCGGATTCCAAAGAGCTTCTGGAGCCACAGCATCGCATGTGCTGCCAACCCTCAGTCCGTCACTCAATGTACAAGCCGAGATGTTTCCTTGCTTGTTGAAAAAAGTGACCCGACCGGTCTTTTCCAAAAGAATCCACACCGCTGGCAGGCCCTCTGCTGTACTACATGCCTCGACGGACACCATTGGCAAGTCGCGGCTGGTGCCATTGACTGCTTCGCCCAATTCTAGAGATTCGTCAGCCGACCGATCATAAAATGATTATATGAGGGCTCTTACTTGAACAGTCTTCTTCATTTGGCAGGGCAAATGGACTCGAATGGCCCGTGCAGCCATGGTTGCCATTTGACCATATCATGCATTGGTCCCCAACATCAACAATGCCCAGAGTGCTAGCAGCAGAGTGCTGCGCGTAGAGGATGGCAGGGAGTGCAAATAGAGATAGATGCATTACGTCAATAAGTGCTTTGATGAAACGAACCGCAGGGAGATAAAGACGCTATCTTGAAAGAAGCTGGCAGTCTCAGTACCGCTCGTCTGGTCTAGCAAGATGAAAGAGCGCGGCTTTGCACGGGGCATTGCCTCGTATTTTATATCCACTTCATTATAAAGCACGACTCCGTTGATGAATCGAGCGAGCGAAATGATGGAAGTGGTGAAAAAGTGAGCAAGCAAATAAATTTTTTGAGGCGTGTGGGTGGCTGTTGTTTTGTTGCGGTAATGTTTCTAGGCTTGTTCACCATTATACGCAGAAATTTGGAGGCTGGTACAATCAAGCTGTGTTCAACTTGCTCCAAAGATTCCATATAGTTTTGCATCTACATCACACTTTATATTAACATTCTCTATTAGTTTTACTGTTGTTTTAGGTGCAACTATATTAGGTTTCCAAAGACATGGGTGGAGTAGAGATAGAATTCGTTAATACCAGGAGGACTGTCAACAGCGAAGGCGTCCTTCTATGTAATAACTGACGTTGAGAGACGAAGGCTTGGGTAGCAAATAGGATTAGATACCCTACTAGTCCAAGCAGACAATGATGAATGTCATGCATTAGATATATATTTAATGCATAAACGAAAGTGTAAGCATTCCACCTCAAGAGTACTATGGCAACATATAAACTGAAATCATTAGACCGTTTCTAAAACCAGTAGTGAAGTATGTTATTTAATTCGATAATCCGCGAAAAACCTTACCATTGTAGCAACTGGTAGCCGCAAGGAAGCGTGTGGAGCAAAAATTGGCCACGGGGGTTCACCACACCGACGAGTCAACATCATCAGCCATCACCCTCGCCAACACACCATCGGAGTCAGCCAGTCTTCTGACTAAAGACAAGGCACATCAGACCACCAATTTGCAAATATGGCCGATTATTGGGGTTCAAAATGCCGCTGGAAATGTACCAATCCAATTGACATTGGCTTAGAAATGGGATCTGACCAATATTCCTTGCCGTTTCTGGGGCTGAATTTTGAGGCTACCTTTCAACATCTCACCAGGTCCCATTCACCACTCTGCTAAAGTCCCACAATCATTTCCTTATTCCGTGTCATCGTAATTGAAATTGAGAGTTAGGTAAACATCTTGGAGTGTTAAGGCGTAGGATGCCGGTAAACCGCACCAGGAAGCATATCGATGTCTAGAGGTATAATCATTTATCGCCCTGCTCCATCAATTCTATTTAATATACAAGCCTGTTATTCATGAGGATGGACCAGTGAATTCTAGTAGCAACGAATCCAATTCAAGAATACTTCATGTAAGATTTTGGAAAGGCAGCAGACCTAGAGGTTGATGGAGATTCTACAAGCTAATCTGCTCAGTCACCCACAAGAGACCGCACTCGTTTTTCGGGACCGTGGATCGATGATATACTGTGTAAAATTCAATAATTCAAATAATTCCAAACAGTGGCTCACGAGATAGCGGGATCCGGAAAGATCGTACTTACCTTTCTACCATCGCTATCAAGAAACCAGTCACGTTCCTGTTGACGGCGCCACCAGTGCTAGAAGTATTTATCGTGATCCTGGGAGCTTTTTTTCTCCTGAAAGCTTGTAGAACTCTTTGAACTCAAAGAAGGGGCCTATAGGAGCTCGTACTTGAGCCTAAGAGCTTGACTTCCATGCCGGGAAGTAGGCCCTTACCATCTATCGTCGACTAGGGATCATTAAATTTTCAAAACGACCGCCACCTAGCTGGATAGTGAGGACAAAGATTCCATAGGAAGGGTCGGGTATAAAACTCCCCTCTCCCAGGAGCTTGCACCATTCCTTGATTTTCCCCGATACTTCGTACCACGCGGGAACCAACATCATCCTGCGTCTGGGGTTCGAATGAATATAAGACAGTAAAGAACTATCTTCCGCCTCTCATTCTTCCATTGAAATCACCCGCCACACCAACTCCACACGCATTACCCCAATGTGAATATGCCCGGTCCCTGATACTGCACGACTTGACATTTGAGTTGATACTGACATGACCTATAGATGCTTCTCCTCGTTTTCCCTCCTGAGATCATTCTTTGCATAGCAGACAACCTGGATCAAGCCAGAGATTTGCTTGCGCTAGCTTGCCTCAATCGAGCAACAAATGCTCTTTTGCTCGACTATTTGTTCAAGTTCAACGTCCGACGCCAACGCAGCTCTGCCTTGTTCTGGGGTGTTCTCCAAGGCAAGTCGGAACTTGTGGAAATGATGTTGCACAGCTATCAAGCGGACGCCAATACCACAGACGATAAATCTCACTAAAAACCGTCACTTCAGGGTTCCCGAGGGTAAGCGATCGGTCAAGACACAAGCTTGACATACTAATATAACGTTACAGATGACTTCTCCACTTGCTACAACATTTGACTGTCCTAATATTAGGAAGAATAAACGCGATTGTGTGGCGCTTAATAAATATGGCCTCCTTGCAGAGGATATAGCACTTCCGAAGTCGCCGGCTCCTCCGATTTCAACCTCTCCTACAGCTCCCAGCAATGTCTCTATGAGTTTATCGAATCTTGATACGGATATACATCCTTCGCAATCAATATCTCAGGTCGAATGCGGGGTGGAGAGGGTCGAAATCAAACAGAAAGATGAGATTGGGTCGAGAGAACGGAGCTGGGTTTGAAAACACTGCCTTACTACACCTGAATCTGGTAGCTGGAGATTAGGAAATAAGGAGCGGTCCGAGCTTAAACACCTGTGTATTGTATCGCCATCCACCTGCCGATTCTTTCGATTTGCATCGAAACTGCGATCTTCAACCACAGCGTTGAAACAGCACCTGCAGAAAACCCACAAGCTCTTCCAGGACGGCCATTCGGGGTGCCAAGGTCCGTTAAGCTCATGGATTTCTAAGGAAAAGAAGCTCCCATTCGAAGAAGCTGTCTTGAATTGGATTGTGCCAACCTGCCAACCGTTTACATGCGTCGAACAGCCTTCATACAAGGCTATGTTGAGGTCTGCAGGCTCTCAAGACTCCGTACCAAGTGCGGATACTGTGTCGCGCCGATTATGTCTTCGGCTTGATGCTATTGACAGTGAGCTTCGAATCTTGATGTCTTCAGCACTCTCAATTGCGCTAACTTTGGATGGTTGGACAAGTCAGAATTCATTGCCAATGCTAGCAATCAATGCTCACTGGATGTCCTCTGCTTTACAGCAATATCGAGCTCGTATTGAGTTCGTTGAAATCGAAGGCAGCCACTCTGGAGAGAACCTTGCTAATATCGTTGCGACGGTTCTCGAGAGGTTTCAAATATCTGATAAAGTTATGACAATTACAGCTGACAACGCATCGAATAACGATACCCTACACCGATATCTCTACCAAAGGTTGTCTCAGCGGTACGATGAGTACCTGGCCGAGACCATCATCCGAGAAGGGACGATAAAGTTTACCCCTAACTCCCAAATCCGCTGCTTTGCTCACATCTTGAACTTGGTTATGAAAACTATCTTGAGGTCTTTACGCGCTAGTTCGCATAAGGAAGCCTGTGATCTCCTTGACGATGTTGCCAAGAGGAGCTGGAAGACGGTTAACGCTCCTTCTTCGCCTATTGCAAAGCTTCGAATACTTGTGCTTTGGATTGCGCAATCTCCTCAGCGGATACAGAAGTGGGATAATCGACCGGGCTGTACAAAAGCTATCAATTTCGATGTTGATACTCGTTGGAACTCTACCTTTGTTATGATTGTGAGAGCTGAAGAGTTTCGCCGTCAGCTCGAAGATACAGTTAACGATGACCCAGATATCAAGGCCTTACGTCTCACACCCAACGACTGGAGACAGCTCTCGGATATTAAAAAATCCTGGCTCCCTTCAACGAATATACCGAGTACGTCTCTCGGGACAGCCTTTCGATTCATATGGCGGCGCGTATGTTTGGAGAGCTCTGTTCTATACTCCTCGCTATCAAGGAGCGACGCGGCGAGTGGCAGACGGTCTTCCCAGCAATCACTGGACCTATTTCCGATGGAATATCGCTCCTGGAGAAGTATCACGACTGCGTCAAAGACAACGGCATATACTATATCGCAAGCGTTCTAGACCCTCGAATCAAGACCAAGTGGCTCAAAACGCTACCAGATGGAGAGAAGAATATTGACCGAATCCGGGAGTTCCTGAAGAAAGCATATTCCACTCCAAAACAGCCTGTATCGACTACTCCAAGCACCAATTGGAAGAACTTCTAATATCGATTTCTGGAAGCCTTTCAGCATACACAGTATAACGTCGCTGAGTCTGACATCGACATGTATTTCGATACTCCGACAATCAGCACTGATTTCGATATAAGCCAGAGCCAGTCCGAGTTTATACGAAACTGGTAGAAGGCCAATATGCTTGAATTTAGTTTTATGGTAAAGGTAGCACAAGGTCACCGTGCTATACCGGCATCAGAGGTAGATATCGAGAGATTGTTCAAGGTGGGAGAGATGTGCTGGGGATTCGACGTTTCTCCATGAAAGGCAAGACCCTTGGGACCTTATTAAGGCTGAAAGACGCTGCACGTTAGAAGTCTTCATAGTTATACAGTGAAAGCTTTTTGGGCATACAGGTGTTTGATATTCTATACCTTATTTGCAGAAGTATTCTTGTAGGGGCCGGGCATCTCGAATACTCGTTCCACAAAGCCTTTTTCCTAAAAAGGCTAGATATTAGTTCGCGAACCTGTTCGAAATTTGCGAAATTTGACGAATCGAATCGGCCATAGATTCGAAGCTCCGAAACCAAGGTTCGAATTCGATTCGATTCGCCGAAATTCGCGAACTTCGAACATTTCGAAAATTCGTGCGGACCCGGTATTACTTGCGGCGTTCACTTGTGGAGACAGGCGAAAACCGGAAAAAGTGTATAAGGGTTTGGCCGTTTAGAGATCATGAATTACCCCACAAGGTCTTTTTCATGTCTATGAATGGGATTTGTTTCCACTGACTCTTTTGCCACGCAACTATGTCATAGTTAGGTCTAGGCATGAGGCACAAGAGGTTGGAAAAGGGTCAATTATCATTGGTAAAAGCAAGATATCATAAGAATCTCGGTGCGTCATAATAAAACCTTGTCCAATCACTTTATAGCGTTTCCAACTTCAATTGTTTCATGTGACTCATGTTGCGGCAGGGTGCCAAGCCCAGGTTCTTGCTGCCCACTGAAAGCCAATCCATGATATGGACTGGATCTCGGTTTGGCGCATATTTCGCCGCCGCTTGCTTGGGTGGTAACAATGATGTATGTGCTGAACCTTGGCTGGTTCTATCTAAAATCTAGGGTGTTGTTGTAAAAGGGCGTCATTGCACCTAAATCTGAAAATATCTTTCGATACCTTTGAACATGACATTCACCATGCCTGAAGACCTCACCACCGCTGTTGAACTACTGGATAATATAGGAACCACCGTTAATACGATCGCAGGTAATCTTGGAGCCAATAGACTCGACAGGAGGAGCTTCCGGAAATATCTTTGCGATTACGCTGACCGCGCTGCGTCCGATGGCCAACTCATTAATGCTTCGAGGAAAGACACCCCTCAATGTGCCAACCGTGGCTTGCTTCTGGCCTACGCCCATATGGAGATGATATGCTGGATTGCAAAAAACAACTATACCATCTTATCTACGTCCGTCAAATGGTACAGCTGGAGGAAAGTATGTGCGAAATATCGCCTTCCCTTACTTGGAGTTTCGCCGCAAAATGCCCATTTAACAAGGCAATTGCAAAATATCAAGAAAATAGCAGATCAGGTATACGCAGAGATCGACGCAAAAAACGTAAGCATTTCCGTCTATTTTTTGGATATAACTAACATACGGGAAGATCCCGGTCTTGCAAGATTCTGTGAAATACCGCAAAGTCTCAGTGCGTCCGCCGGTTGATCCTCAACCAGGTGTGTACATAACCTTTCCTTTGAATAATGAAATACGCGTTCCTAAGTTTGATTCTGGTTATAGGAATGGGCGACCTCGTTCATCGGGCCACCCTTGCACACAAGCAGCTCTCCCACTGATCAAAGACCTCGCGGAGCTTCGCACTTGACCTTTATCAGAAATGTTCTGTATAGCTGTGGAAATATACCGGATTTACTGGCCATCAAAAGGCAACGGAATCAAAAAGGAGAATAACAAAGATGATCAGAAAAGAGTGTTGATTCTTGTTTCCTATCTACTGGGCTCGAGGGGGTAAAAATACCCTCGAGAATACCTGGTATCGAATCCTCTAGAATCTCAGAGGTACTGTTTGGGTTAATACGATGCTGATCACCATTTTCCTGACAACCTTCTAGCTTTGAGAATTAACACAAAAACGTCGCACTCTTTGAGATACTGGATATATTTTCCAATATATAACACAAACAATCTCCTTTGTCACGCTGAGAAATGGTAGTTGGTTATGTGTACAAGCCTGTGATCACGCGGGCGCCATAGTACAGCTAATCTACGGTCTGATGATAGACCTTATTGTCTGAATATAAACCTTATATTACCCTAAAGGTCGAACCAATAATTATGTTTAGAATGAGCCCGTATCCGAAAGCAACAAACCTCACAGCACATTCACGTCTTATTGTGGTACTTCCGGGGATTTAGGCATCAAAAGGGTAACTGCAAGGTGTAGTGCACCAGCAAGGCCCAGGAAATTATCAGCAGTCACAGCAGGGCCTCCACCAGCAGAGACACAGATTGCGTTGGCACCGAAGGTGAAGATGAAGTGGAGGTGGCAGTAGCATTGGCGGAAGAGCTGGAGAAGTGAACCAACCACCTTCCGAGGCTGTGTGGGTGTGTAAGAAGCGATCGTCATACCTTTCGTCGATACTCATTCTTGAATGCTCCTGGGAGGTTGGTGTACCAGGCTGGCGCAGTCTGGCTGTTCCCCGCGATGGGGACAGAAAGTCTGAACACAGGATCCTGCCAGTTGGAAGGGGCCTACACGGTTTGTTCACCGCTATTTATCGCTTCTGAAACCCACGTTGACATCAAGTAAATAGATTCAAGAACGAGTGCCGTTTTACAGCTTTAGGTAGACATCAATGTTATAGCCGCGAAACGATGCGCAAACTCTATTTCACCTCTGCTAAGCAGCTGTGCCGGCATCAGCATCATGAGCAAAGAAAACCCATCTACGCACCGGGCCCCCATGGGACACTAGTGCGAAAGCGCACAAGAGCTGCAGTTTGATTGTGGAGGAAGTGATTGACCGCCCCGCACAGGGATCTACGTTGAGGTATGGTATTATTTGTTGTGATATGAGGCTGGTGCAGATCAGGTACCAAGCCGCACCGTCGGAATTAGCTCCGAAGTGTCTATACAGACGACCAAGTTGATTTCCCAATCAACTTGGCTAATTGTTATATATATAGGCTCATGTATCCCTCTGGAATAACAAGTCAATTCGTACCTCTGAACAACAACACTCGTATCTTCCTGTCTCTGCGTCATCTTCATCGCTGGTAGTACTCCTGGAACATAATCTGTTGGACTATCTATTCTTTAAGTCTGGAGCAAAATGGCGTGACTTGACCGTCGTTTTCTCTTGCTCCTGGTCTTTGATGGCTGAAGCCCGTGAGCTTTGACCTGAGCCCTTTTACGATATCGGTCACATTGTCGGTGCCTTTAATGGCTAGCACAGTGGCCAAGAGCCCACCTAACAATTTTACAGAATGTTTCATCCCAATGTTATTACGGTTCATCCGTGAGCGATGCTAGCGTTCAATCAAGGAAGTTCCGAACCATTCGCATCCATTATTCCTAAGGCGACCAAGCATATATACTGGATAATGCCTGGCACTCAACGCCTTTCTCTTTCCATTTGAGTGCTCACCTCTTGCCGCTTTTTGATTTCAGAGTAAAATTGAGAATGCCCCTGAACACTGATCAAGCATCATCTGACTACCTAGGTACCTAGCTATCACATGAGCAATCTGATCCACTCACTGATCATCATATGAGCAATCTGATTCGCTTACGCAGTAAGATCAGAATGGGGATTGAACTGAGTAAGCTATATCAATAGCAATAAGTTAGCCTCATCACGTGCACTTCACCTCTCTAAACCGCCCCTATTATCCTATCAAAAATGGACTGGCGCCGTTAGAGGGGCTATAATTTCGGGAGTTGTTGACAGAGCTGCTGGGCAGATCTTCGCTACGCGGATAGCCTAGAATTTGTATTGCACTGCTTAATGGAAGGGCTTGGAAGCTTGGAAGCTTGGAGTGTGATGCGAGGTAGCCCAATATGAAAAAAATTTTGATGAACGAGTCTTTTATTTCCTTTGATAGCTTTAAGGTCAGATACCTGCCTTTCCAAGGCCTCTGCCATAATGATTTGTATTTTGAATTTTCGTTAATTTCTGCTCAGGTATTCAGCCTTTGGCAGCTATAATTCACCAAACCCCATGATGATATGATACCTTGAAGTCGCTACCTATCTGTGCATGAAGGGGAACGGACGTTGATCAAATTTTTTCAAGTACAACGCCGCCAATCACAAAGGGTGTTTCAAGGCATCCTAGCTCTTCTGGGCTTCGGGGCAATGGATAACCTAGCAGTCTTGATGAGTCGCGGAAAGGGGAAAAACGGTACTTGGGCTCACCATCTCCACATTATTTCCAATTGGATCCAAAACAAATGCCCCGTAGTAATGCTCATGATACTCTGGTCTCAACTCAGGCTTGCCATTGCAGGTTCCGCCAGCTTCTACAGCCGCTTTGTGGAAGGAAGGCATTGACAGCTGCGCGGTCTGTCGTAGATCGGTCAATGAATATATAACTTGTTGCCTTAGAAACCAGCCCATAAGAGGGAGCACCTTACTAGGGGCGGAAAAGGCAAAATGAAGCCCTGATGGAATATTTGTCTCTTTTTGAGCAATCCAGAAGTCGGGAAATTCGTTGCCGAGTCCGACAATACCAGGAAATTACATAATCTCTTTATAATGAAGTGGAGAGAGCGCCGTCTTATACCACTCCACCAAGGGCACGAAATACCCTTCTAGGGCGGGAATGGTGATATGGTCGATGTTACTAGGTGGCATGGCTATTGACTTTTGAGAATTAAATTGAAGTATAGTTGGGGGGATAGTGGGATGAGAAAACTGTTTAAATTTTGCAGCATTCCTGTGACCGTCCTTCGTATATCAGGCAAAGGGAATAGACACCAATATTACTGAGGAAATATACGAACCACAATAATACATATCATTGGTTTTGTGGCCTGAGCAATACGGACCAAGGTGATTTCGAAAGTCACTACAGAACAGTCACCAAACTTCAAATGATTGCCGAACATAGCCGTGGACTTTATTTTGTCCAGTAGAACTTGAAGAGTAAATAGAGTTATGTCGGGTGTCATTAGCCGGCAAACGTCCCGTGCTGTACAGGAGCTCAAGCCCAGAATGTATGACGTACTTGACACATCCAGTTTGTGGGACTTCCCGAGCTCGCCAGGTATTTGAAGTTCTGGATCGAGGCGCAGTCGGGGTTTATCGCCACTTGAAAACATGGCAACAAGTACTAACACACTCAAATCTAGACTAGCATTATAAAAATGCTTTCAGCTTTCTATGTTGATAGAACCTGATTCACAGATATCGGATTGAGGGAACTACACAGATGTTGGCTCAGAGAGAAAAGATCCCTACATTTCCGGCACACCTCAAGAGCGCCAAGTGTGCCTGTATAAATGCTCACCTCTGTATTAACGTTTGACCAATTTGGCATGAGCTCGTTTTGTTCGCCATGCGCTTGGCTTACGTAGTAAATTTTGTGCTCCTTGGTATTGCAGCTTTGCTGCTAAACGAGGCTCGCTTAGCATGAAATGTGGGATCGGGGAGGAATTCATACTGGATATCCCGTCCAATCTTTCCTGGCATCGATTCTGGCCCATGGAAGACGGCGTTCCCAACCCTGAAAGACTTTCTGGGCATAATTGCACAGCCCCTTTCTAGAAGATATGTAAGTAAACAATAGCTTGATACATGAAACGGCTCCCATGGGAGGTTAATCATCTCCAACTATCAATTTACTAAAGACATAACTGTCCTGCAGAATACTCTCATGGCTTCTTCTCGTGATAAACCGTATCATCAGCCATCAGCCGATGTTTCTTCTTTGGGGGCAGGCTCTTTTGATGAGAGGACGATCAAGTCTAAACATGCATCAGGAGAAGGTTATCTCATAGCAATTCCCCACCAGCGGTCGTCCGTATCGGGTTCATCTCCTGCAACACCTGCGGGACGTCCTGAACCAATGGATCCGAGCAATATCCCATCCTCGTCTCACTCGCTTGATAATGCGAGCGAAAACCATGATACACTCATACCGGTATTCTCTCAGGCCTTACATCGATCTTTGAAACCGATTGATGACGATGGCTTGCGCCCGCGCTCGCAGTCGATCGCATCTACCGAGGGTTCCATGGCCCATTCCATGACTCTGCCGGACGTATATTCAGCTCAGACTTCTAAGTTTTATTGTGACGACGTGTCGCTGTTAGAAGCGGTGACGCTAGATTCTCATGATGACACTGGTTTTCATGTTGACGAATGCCCTTTCGCCTTCTCACCTGGACAGCTCAACAAAATGCAAAATCCCAAGTCACTTGCAGCATTCTTTGTTGTTGGTGGGTTGGAAGGGCTAAGAAAAGGTCTGCGAACGGACCTCGATGCAGGTCTATCCGTCGATGAGGGACGATTAGATGGTTTTGTAGATCTCCAGCAAGCAATTTCACACATGTATGACGGGCCAACCAGTCTGATTGAATCGAAATTGGATGCCAGCTCGACTGGTGCAGTGGCTGCAACAAACAACAATCGTTCAAACTTCGAGGACCGCATCCGCTTTTTTTCTGAGAACAAATTACCAGCCCGAAAGTCAATTGGGTTCTTCAAGCTGTTTTGGATCGCATATAACGACAAAATCATTATTCTATTGACCATTGCTGCGGTCATCTCATTATCTTTAGGGATATACGAATCGGTAGATGGCGGCACGGGTGTGGAGTGGGTGGAAGGGGTTGCTATTTGCGTGGCAATTCTGATTGTCACCGTCGTCACAGCTGCGAATGACTGGCAAAAGGAGAAACAGTTTGCAAAACTCAATAAACGAGTAAGTAAATGAGCTCTTCTCTAGATTGTATTGCGTATCTAATTTATTGTTGAGAACAATGACCGCGATGTCAAAGCTATTCGCTCAGGAAAGTCGGTAATGGTATCTATATATGATATCATGGTGGGCGACGTCCTCCATCTTGAGCCTGGTGACTCTATTCCAGGCGACGGGATCTTGATATCGGGTTATGGTGTGAAATGCGACGAATCGTCAGTGACCGGTGAATCGGACCAAATAAAGAAGACTAATGGCCATGAGGTGTGGCGGTACATCACTGAAGGCCGCGCCAATAAAACGCTTGATCCATTTATGGTTTCTGGCAGCAAGGTGCTAGAAGGTGTGGGGACCTATCTCGTGACCGGTGTTGGGCCGTTTTCCACGTACGGTCGACTCATGCTATCGCTACAAGTCTCTAACGATCCAACACCGCTCCAGGTAAAACTGGGTCATCTTGCAAATTGGATCGGGTATTTGGGATCAGCGTGAGGATTGCACTTCCCAGATATAAACGAAGGTACTCACAATGAACCATAGTGCCGCTATCATTCTCTTCCTCGTCCTGTTGTTTCAGTTCATCGCCGATCTTCCCAACCACCCTAATCAGAGCTCTACTGTTAAGGGTCAGCACTTTGTGGACATTTTAATCGTGGCGGTCACTGTAATTGTTGTCGCAGTCCCAGGTAAGTACCTATTGATAGACTTTAAAATTTCTATGTTTCTCACATGTTTTCCTTTCTCCTAGAGGGCCTTCCCCTCGCCGTAACACTTGCTTTGGCATTCGCCACGACTCGCATGGTCAAGGAGAATAATCTGGTTCGCGTTTTGCGAGCCTGCGAAACAATGGGAAATGCTACGGTCATATGCTCGGATAAGACAGGAACCTTGACCCAAAACAAGATGACAGTTGTCGCTGGCGTGTGGGGTTTAGATTACAGCTTCAGCAGAATGTCGGAGGATGATGCCAACTCGGTGAATATCGCATCAGCTTTTCAGAAAATTACCGATCCGGTGCGAGATCTTACACTAAAGAGTGTTGCGTTGAATTCTACCGCCTTTAAGGAAGGAAGGGGTGGGCAACAAGAGTTCATTGGGAGCAAGACTGAAGTTGCCCTTCTCCAGTTGGCCTATGATTATTTGGGTATGGACCTTACACAAGAGCGAGATTCCGCCAAGACTACTACCGTTCAACTTTTCCCATTCGACTCCACGCGAAAATGCATGGGTCTCGTTTACCGGCTTCCTGGAGGAGAGTACCGGTTCCTTGTAAAGGGAGCCCCTGAGCTAATGATAGCTGCGTGCTCTACGCGAATTGCAAAAATAGCTTCTGCTAGCAAGGGACTCCAAACGGAACCTCTCTCCGACGCTGGCCGCTATCAAATCCTTGAGAACATCGATCGATTCGCTACTGGGTCCCTTCGAACCATTGGGTTTGTATATAAGGACTACATGACCTGGCCTCCCGCAGGGGCGGCGAGGATGGAAGATGATCCATGTTTGGCCGTTTTTGACGATGCCTTCCGAGATATGACATGGTTTGGGGTGTTTGGTATTCAGGATCCCCTCCGGCCTGAGGTTCCTCCAGCGATTCGCAGATGTCATTCTGCAGGAGTTCAGGTTAAGATGGTGACTGGGGATAATGTCGCAACTGCTGTCGCGATTGCATCATCGTGCGGTATCAAAACGGATGGCCTAGTTATGGAGGGCCATCAATTCCGACATCTATCAGTTGAAAAACTAGATCGGGTGATTCCACGCCTACAGGTCTTAGCCCGTTCATCGCCAGAAGACAAGCGTCTCTTGGTAGAACGTCTTAAAAGCCTTGGGGAAACAGTCGCTGTAACGGGCGATGGCACAAATGACGGGCCTGCATTGCGAACCGCGGACGTCGGATTTTCTATGGGCATTGCCGGTACCGAGGTAGCTAAAGAAGCTAGCTCAATTATCCTCCTCGATGATAATTTTCGATCCATTGTTACGGCTATCGCCTGGGGACGGACGGTGAACGACGCCGTCGCTAAGTTCCTTCAATTCCAAATCACCGTTAACATCACGGCCGTCATTCTGACATTTGTGTCGTCTATCTATAGTGATTCGAACAACCCCGTGCTGAATGCCGTGCAGTTGCTCTGGGTTAATCTCATAATGGATACCTTTGCTGCATTAGCCTTGTAAATATTACGGCCTTTTCCTATGGCAGATATAGTATCCTGCTAACAGATGATGAAATCTAGAGCCACCGACGGCCCAACGCCTGCAATTCTTGATCGAAAACCTGTGCCAAAAAGTGCCCCACTCTTCACGATGAATATGTGGAAGATGATCCTCGGGCAAACAGTCTATAAACTCGCCGTGATTTTTATGCTATACTTCTCTGGGGACCAACTTTTGAGCCCACAACTTGAGCGCAACAACCTAGAGCTTCGGCACAAACAACTTTCGACCGTTGTTTTCAACACATTTGTTTGGATGCAAATTTTTAATGAATTAAACTGCCGCCGCCTCGACAATAAATTCAATGTCTTCGAGGGTATGTTCAAGAATTATTGGTTCCTAGCTATCAATATCGTCATCGTTGGTGGACAAATTATGATTGTTTTTATTGGCGGTCAGGCGTTTCGCGTTACTCGTCTCAATGGGGTTCTATGGGCTGTCTGTCTCATTTGTGCCGTGGGCTGCATGCCGTGGGCTATGGTTCTTCGCCTGATCCCCGACGACCATTTTGCTCTCGTTTTCAATGCTGTCACCAACAGTTTTGCTTTCCTCTTGCGGCCATTTGTCAAAATCTTCCAAGTCTTTAGTAGAGGCTTCAAAGCTTGCTCCCAGCCTCTTACCTGCTTTACTCGCTGGGTTTTTTCTCGACAACCCGCAAAGCATGGTGACGATCAACGTGCTCGGGAGTCAACAACTCCTCAGCCTCAAGAAAAGGAACTGTCCCGTTCGATGCAGCACAGGGAACAGGATACCCCTACTCACCCTCAAGCGCCACCACAAATATCGGTACCCTCGATTACAATAACGACTTGCCCTTAATCCTCCGAGGGTCTGATGCCGCGCCAAAATCATCCTGCATGCTTCAATGGTCAGCATTGCTATTAACACGAAATACGAACTGTCTATATCAGGAGTGTTCTGTATAGCTGTGGAAATACACCGGATTTACTGGCCAGCGAAAGGCAACGGAATCAAAAGGAGAATAACAAAGATGATCAGAAAAGAGTGTTGATTCCCCTTTCCTATCTACTGGGCTCGAGGGGGATAAAATACCCTCGAGAATACCTGGTATCGAATCCTCTAGAATCTTAGAGGTACCGTTTGGGTTAATACGATGCTGATCACCATTTTCCTGACATATACATACTCAGACTGAGGGGCTTGCTTCTTAGTACGCTTCTCTTGTGGATCCTGTCCAAAACGGGCTTAGTGGTAAACTACCACTGACAATATATATATTTCATAAAAGCAGAAGTAGGTGCATCTTTCTATTCAAGTATGACATTTTCAATGGTGGAACTCGTCATTTTTAGGCTTATAGAATTCAGTTTAAACCAAAAGCTAGTTAATTTCTCACAATTAGTATCCGTTTTCACAGATAATTGATACTGGGAAAATCTACACTACTTATGCAAATGCCAAGAATTGGCATGTTTATATTGTTTTCGGCCCATTGGGCCCCAAGAATAAGCCCGGGAGCCCATCTGCGGGTCGGGGTCGGGTTGGGCCTTGGGCTTTTGGGCCGGTCCGGAAGTTTACATATGACAGAGATAACAGTTTCATTGTTTCATTCTGCACCATTTGGCATCACTTGCTACGATGGTCCCCTGGTGTTTACCGAGTATTTTTTGGCACACAGCCTCCAATTCGATTGAGCTGGTCCAATGCAAACACCAATATCCCTCGGGGAAGCTATAATTAGGCAAAACACCCACGATCAGACCTACCAATGAAGCATTGAACGAGCGCTCGAAATGCAATCTGTTGCTCAGATAATCACGGTGATGCGATAGACTGTCCCTCGCGTAGTCAAATTTACCGCTTCAGGCGACTTGCAAGTCACTCACCCCTACTCTGCTGTAGAATGCCTACCTGGATTCCCAATAAAGACGGCGAAGACATTGAGGGGCTTGGCTCGAAAATCATGGGAGCCGTCGCAACCCCGTGAATAATCCCGAGCAACTACGATTTATATCGCCTGTCCTCTGCCATTATCAACATCCACTACTGCACCCAAAGGGATCGCCATTGCTTTTTGGGAAGAGTACCCGAGTTCACGCGATCGAGCATACTCTAATGTGTAGAGAACATGGTTGCAGCCCGATTGGGTCTAGCAAGCCCCATGTTGACAAGATCTGGTAAAGACGATTCGTCCAGCATTTACGACGGACGTTGCGATGCGATCTACTTGGCTTGAAGCCGCAGCAGACATGCGCGTAACTAATCCCGCCGAAAGCAATCATATGAATGCTGATTAGGGGTAGAGCTGTTAGCATAGGCTGTCATAATAGTCAGAGGTCGCACAGAGGATGGCTCTGAGTAAAGTTGTGCAGAAACCCACCTTCACAAAGGATCAGCTCGAACGGTGATATGCCAAATGTCATCAAAGCGCAGTGCCTGCAAATAAGCCATGCTCAAAGACATTCGACGTAGAGGACGCATTGCTGACCTGCAGCTGCAGTGACCTCGAGGGTAAATCACCTTTGCACATGTTGCACATGTTGCTCTGACTTGGATAGGAAAGAAAAGTGTGCCTAGGCATCAAGAATACCAAGATCACCAAAGACACCACAAGAGTCTGACAGTGCCTTCGATGCAGCGCCGTGTATGTCCGGTTGGTCTCTCCCGCTCGCTCGTTTCCGCTTGTTAGCTCCACCCGCTGGAATACATCGACCGGCTCAGCAACGCGGAGTAGGATCAGGTAAAACTATCGGACGGCATCTCTTTGCTCGTGCTCTCTAGTTGACTCGGCTATGACTCGACACCCTACCGCCTCCTTTTATCGGTTCGTACCTGATATGGCCAATGTTCATCTGTAGGCTCGAAGTAATGGGGTCCGCCTCACCTTCTCCTTGCACGCAGACTTAGACTCGCAGCCTGCTCGTCGGCAAAAGTAGGATTCGTTCGCCATGAGCCAGACTAAAATATGAGCTCACCCCGGTGCCTCTCGAGCTGCCAGGCATCAAAAGACGTGAGATGCGAATCGAGGACAATGAGCATCACCCATTGGACGCCAGGAATTCGATCCACAAGGAACCTATTCTTTCGCGGTGTTCGAATACCGAGACAGACGGTGGTTTAGCCCATTATGCTTTGAACTTTGTATCGGTAGACACATCAGCACATCACTGGTGCATAGTGTCGACTGAGAGAAGGGCCGAGATGATGTGAACATTCCATTCATTCCTCGTCCATCCCACCGTGGTAATGAGGAAGGGACAGACAACTTGCGATCGCATCGGTAAAGGGGAGCTTGAGCAGACAAGATTGCTCGCTTCGCATTCGACTCGAGTGACGGGAATATGAGGGGAGCTGGTGTATGATCCGAGTCAGCAAGGCTACCACTTGGACGAGATTTTATAATTTACATGTTCATAAAGCTGGCAGAACGTTCGCTTGAGACGAAACGATGAATTAGCCTCGAGATTGGATCTTACCGGCGAGATCACTTACAATCGTCTTCATCAATGTAGTCACCTTTCATGCCATTTGATATGATGTTGTCTCCAGTTCGTCGCACTCTCCAGCTATCGCTTCGAATAAGCCGCGCTGGGTGCACCGGGCAACTTCTGAGAGCCAAAGGCGCGTGACGGAATACCTGTGACGACAAAGCGTACAGTCGTAATGGGATAAGACCTCGCGATGGGGACGGCAGAGGTTCGTACACTCCGCCGTTCATGTGGTGAGGGCGGTGAGGTTGAGGCGGAAGACGCGATGGATCACGCGTCGTCGTGACGTGGTCTTATCTCCGATCCGGCAATAGGACTCTCAACGGGTATCTTTCACAGTGGCGATGGCTGCTCCTATAGTGGCATAGAAATCAGTAATGGTATTGGTGATTTAGAGCACAAAAATTCGCAACAACTGATATAGCGCAGCAGAGGATGCGATCAATCACTCACATTTTCATGAAGAATGGACGTCTCAAGCTTCTGCGCAGCGAAACTCGCGATCGGATGTCCGCACCTATTTTTAGCCCGTTCCTTCTTCACCTCGTTTTTTGCTGTGTGGTTTGGTGTGACGGGGCCATGAATATTGCATAGGCAATGGCTTTGTGCAGAGTACTAACGGGGGTGCGATGTTGATGTTCACCATCGTTCATTAGCTTGTACATCGGCGGCATAATCCATGACTCACATGTTTTGGTGGCCAAAATTAGGGACGAAGATACTGTAAAGAGCTGTGACCCTTGCGCTCGTGTATTGTGGTCAATTGACCTCGGTTCTGTTGAAATCGCATCGTCTTCGGAATCAGTGAGACAGGTCAGGCTAAGATTCACATACCTCGACGTGAAATTTGCGCTTTCTCTTGGAAATACTCAGAGGTGTACAGTAGATCAGCTCAGTCGGCTGCTGTGGCGGAGGCATCTTTGCATATACATCTTTAGTCGGCTGGTGTGAATGGCAGTGCATCTGGTGGGAATCATACAGAACCTGTATCTCTCACAGGCACTGTCTGGCTTACTGAACCAAGTTGTATTCTATAAATGTCAGTACAATGGGAGTTTCAGTACTGGATTAATGGGGAAGAACTTATCAAGTGGCTCGGACACAAGCCTGCTCATTTTTGCAGTCAAGTGAACAAGTGAAGAGCGAATTGCCGAGGATAGAGAACCTACTTATAGGCTTCTCGGCTCGTCCTTTCGCACAAGTGCGCTGCTTGGGAGAACGCGTTGGGGGACAACTCCCTTAATCGAGGCCTGTTGAAACCCACGTCTTCTTTTTACCGCAAATATTTGCAGCGACATTTCTAATGCTTTAGCTGCTCAGCGAGAGAGACAAGAGTGGTGTTGAGAAAAGGATGCTGGTTCGGTCAAGAATCCTTGGCTGTCTATTAAATCGTCACAGCCGTCTTAAATTGAGGTTTTGTGTCCATCCGCAATGACAGGCTCATATTTCTTGTTCTGATGCCTCATCTGTGAGCGAATCAACGTTGAATCACCGGAAAACGTCTACAATTTCATCCCGAGAAATCATGGATTTTTTCCCCTAGCCTCGCGTTATTGTGATGTTGGTTGTGTTGAGCTGTGGGTCTGTCTGTCTAGACTGCAGAAAGCGAGGTCACCGTCGGTCAACCCGTTGAAGCTTCGCCATAGTTGTCAACACTCAATCTTCGAACTTGTGACCATCAAGATGCATTGGTTTATGTTTTAGGTGGGGATCGTGACCCAATGGATGCTCTACTCTCACCCAGCTGGTAGGGTCAGTGCGACGGTCGCGCTAGCCCGAGGGATCTCATCCGGTTGTTACCACAATACTCAACCTGTCTATTGCGAACTCACCCTTTTCATTCCCAGTTGCGCGACGCTAAAGCGGTGCTCACTCATTTCTCACCTGGGTGACACGCAGTGACTTCCTGGGTTGCAGGATCAGAAATCGCGGCTTGATGTTTCATTACGTCATGTGGCGACACACGTCTCAGCATCCGCCGAGTAAACGGCTTCAAAGTGCGCACCTCACTTTGGTTTTTGAGACTATGTATTGGACCGTACACCACTTTCTAGGCAGCAGACGGAGGCCATGGACGCAGCATCATGTTTACCCTCGGGATATTTGAAATACGATCAGCAGTCTCTTCCATCCAATGTGAGCGCAACTTTACGCGCCGTTGGTGAACGAGACTTTGAGCGCAACCGTGCTCTAATAGAAGTGGGTCAATGTTCCATAGGATCGCCAGGGGTATAAACTTTTGATCTCGGTTAAGGTGATGTGACGTGCGTACGGCTCAAATCACAATGATTGGGGTTCGTTATGGAGTGGGGGCAGACAAGAACAAAACAAAACAAAACTTTCTTTGTTATTTGCCATACCATCCAACGC